TGGACTTGGACCAAACCCAAGAACTCAGTCATAGTCTCTTTGTGGCTAGGTCTCCTCATAGAGGCCTAGCTTCTTCGGAGATGGTGGCCTCACGATAATTAGACTTCTTGGTACTCAGGGTTCCAAGTAGAGCGTTCTGGAAAATAATACATAAGTCTCAGAACTATTTATGTCTTAGCTTCGAGAGTCATGTAGCATCCCTTTATGTTTGCTTGGTTTCTTTTAGATACAGTCTTAGTTTGACTTGACCAGCCTAAAACTTGCTATATAGATCGAGGCTAGCTTTGAACTTGTAGTGATCCTCCTGTCTCTGCCGCCCTGTTGCTGGGATTATAAGCATGGACCACTATACCTCGTGTTGGTAGAAATGGTTATAAGCTTCCCGAACTTAAAGTGGTGGGACATAGACCCTGCCTTTTTTGTTTTTGTTTCTTAAGACACGGTCTCATGTAACCCAGGCTGTAGCTGAGGATGGCCTAGACTGTTTGTCTTCCCTCTGCCCCCTCAGAGCTAGGATCACAAACATATACTACCATGCCAAAGTATTATGTGGTGCTAACCATGAAACGAGGGTTTCAGGCACCCTAGACAAGCACCCTTACCTTCTGAGAGGCATCATCAACCTAGACCTACCTCTTAATGAGATAAATGTCAAATTATAGAAATAGCTTCAAAATCTCTACGACTACTTGTTTCTCCCATATATAAAATGCATTCCCTTTTCCAGCAGTCCAGGTCCAGGCAAGATTCCAGAGGTGTGGTTCAGTGAGTAAACTTTGGGTACCTTGAGCTTCTTCTATTGGGGGAGGTAAGGGATGAGTAATTGTTTTATTCTGAACCCTGTAAGTCCTGGCTCTTATATCGCTTCTGTATTTTCTTTGAAAACTGATCAATTCCTGGTTTTAGATTGTATTTGTCTATCCTGTCTTATATGGATAATGTAAGCCATTGTATTTTCAATGTCCTGCTTGAATATCTTAGCCCAAATCCACCAGTAGGAATTTTTCCCATCTTCCTTGTCCCCATAACAGTGCTGCTAAACAATCGGTCAGTTCTTTCTCTGGCTTCATCAACAACCTTTTGTTTTTTAGATTCATTTTATGTATGTAAGCAGATGTGTGCGTGCAACATGTGTATGCAAATCTCAGAGGAGTCCAGAAGAGGGGCTTGGATCCCCTAGAACTGGAGTTACAGATAGTTGTGAGCCCACAGCTGATAACCAGACCCGTCCTGCAAAAGCAGCAAGTGCTCTGAAACACAGAGCCGCCTCTCCAGCCCCTAGTAACATCTTTCTCCAGGCTCCTCTAGCTCTTAACTGCCATCAGGTGTCACACCTCAAGCCATGAAATTTGGGCTTGTCATAGTAGAATTTCATTTCCTTGTACTAGTACCTGTTGCTCTGATAACAAATCACAAAACTCAAGTTGTATGAAGCAACAACTCAGATGTCTTAAATGATATGATGGAAGTTTCTGTATGTGGCTTCCTTTTAATGATCTGGGGTCTCACATATGACAACCTCAAGTTACTATCAGGTATGTGTAGCTCTAGGCACAAGTATTCCTGCAAACAAAGTGTGTGTGTGTGTGTGTGTGTGTGTGTGTGTGTGTGTGTACAGAGCCCGTAGGCTTGAAAGTCACAAACTGGGCCCAGATCTCATATCAGGGAGCTCACTTCCTCCTGTAACTACACCTTCAGGGACTGTTACACTTCTGCTAGACTTTAAGGGTACCTGCATGCATGTGGCAAACACACACACACACACATACACATATACATAAATAAAATTGATCTTGGGGATTAGAGATGATTCAATGGCTAAGAGTACTGGCTGCTCTTTAAGAGTACGTGGATTTGATTCCTAGCACCTGTATGGCAGCTCACAGCCATCTGTAACTCCAGTTCCAGAGAATCTGACACTCTCTTCCAGCCTCCCAGGGTACCAGGCATAACACCCATACTCATAAATAAAATTAAAAAAATAAAAATAAAATGAATCTTTAAAAATTTATATTAAAGGTACATACAGAGAAATTCTGTCTCAAAAAAAGGAAAAAATGTTATATTTAAAATGAATTAAAACTTACCATTTTGACAATACTCTGTTGGTCAGAGCTGTAAGAAGCCTACAAAAATCCAAAGGAGGGGAACACAAAATAATGTCACAAAATTTCTCATCTAGCAAGTTTTTAATTGGCAGGCAGGTAAGACATCTTGTAGGGCCAGAGATAAGGCTCAGCAGATAAGAGCACTAGTTGCTCTTCCAGCCACCACATGCGGCTCACAGTCATCTGTCTTGGGACCTGACCATATACATAAAATATATAAATCTTTTTTTTAATCTTGTAAATTTGGATCTGATATAAAATAGCTATAGTGGGTTTTTCTGTAGAGATCATGACTGTCTACAGAACAGATTTTAATTTTGTTATTTTGAGATGGGTTCATGTATTTCAGACTAGCCTAGAACTCACTAGTAGCTGAGAATGGCCTTGAACTTCCAATTCTTCTGCCTCCACCTCCCAGTGCTAGAATCAGATTGCACTACAGCGCGTGCCACCATTCCCACCCAGTTTTGTGAGACACTAGGAGTCAAACCCAGAGCTACGCGTAGAGCTTGTATGGCATTGCTTCTCAAAGGAAAATTCCGGAGAAAACTATTTATAAATATGTAAGTTTAGATAGATGCATCTACATATCTATATTCCTTTTTCCCACTTGCAATATTTATATTTCTTAAATAAGGAATTTGTTAAAACTTATTTTTCAATGTTTTTATTTAGAAGAATTGGATCATATTTTTTTATGTCAACATGGAGTCACTTTTTAAAAATGTCATAGTAATACCTGTTTTCAGTAAATAAGTACCTTGTTTTGTGGTTTTCAATGAAGGAAAAGTTTAAATACTGCCCTTTGGAGGCTGTTGTTTGATTGTTTAATGAGGTAAACTTTTTATTTATTTATTTATTTTTTACTTTTAAAAAAGTGTCATTAGGAAATGTAGCTTAATTTCCTTTAGAATGAGATTCTAAAAAATTTCATATATAGATATATTGTGTGATGTTTTACTCTTTTGACTTTTGGGAGGGCTACCACCCAGCTCCCAAATAAATCACACATGGAGACTTATTCTTATTTAATTATGAATGGCCATAGCTTGGCTTGTTACTTGCCAGCTTTTCTTAAATTATCCCATCTACATTTTGCTTCTGGGCTTTTCCCTTTTCTTCTGTATATCTTACTTTCACTCTTGACATGTGGCTGGCTGGAGGGCTGGCCCCTGATGTCCTCCTCTCCTGTTCTCCCCCACTTCTCCTTTAATTTATTCTCTGTCTGCCAGCTCCACCTATGCTTGTTCCCGCCTTGCTATTGGCTGGTCAGCTCTTTATTTGGACCATCAGGTGTTTTAGACAGGCAAAGAGTCACAGTTCACGGGGATAGCAAATGCAGCGTAGACAAAATCACACACCTTAAAATAGTATTTCTCAACATAACTAAATTAATCTAGAAACCTTTTCAGATATAAACATAAGTATTGAAAGGTAATTTGATATGTATAGTGTATGCGAAACTTTCGGAACATGTATCTGTCACTCAAGTTTGTCATTGGTGTGGTTTTTCAGCTACCATTCACTAATTATCAACTATCAATTCCTTGGTTTTTCTTGAGGAAGCTACTGCTTTATCTGTTTTGTTTGTTTCTATAATCTTCAGTAGTCTTTGTAGTCTTTGGTATAAATATAAGAAATAAAATTACTGCTTTTTTCTCACTTGCCCAAGTGATTGGATTAAACTCATTGTAAAATGGAGGTTAAAAATACCTCTTCTGTTTACATCACTGTCTAGCAGAGTAAGATGCTAGACTAGACATGTAAAAAGAAATCATGTGTAGTCAAGTAGCAACATTACTTTAAAAAGATACTGTTTTAAGAGCTGTGGAGATAACAAGTAGGCATTGTCGGGCACTTCTGAACAAGACTGACAACTCGAGTTCAGTCCCTGGAATGTACATGGATGTGGAAGGAGAGAGCCACGTCCACAGGGGTGTCTCTGGCCTCCATGAGCACACTGGCATGCCCCCAGAGAACACGGATCATGCACACACAGAATAGTATGGGTTGTTTTTTTAACTCTTAAAAATATGAAACCAAAACAAAACTAAACTTGTTAATCTGATAAAATATATTACTACTTTAGAATATGGTGAAGTAGGAACGGTCACCAAACTCAGTGGTTTTAGAAGCATTTCACAAGTGGGTTGTAATAGTCATGCTTACTGAAACTTTTTATAACAATTTTTTAAGCATGTTGTTAAAAATTCTTTTCAGGCAGAGGACGTAGCTCAGTAGTACCGTGCTTGGCTAGAATGGACAAGACCCTGGGTTCAGTTCCCACCACCACCCAACAAAAATCATTTGGTAATCATAGTGTGCAATTTTTTTTCTTGGCTAGAAATATCTTTTATCTAATGTGTTCATTTCGGCTTATACTTAATACAAAATAAAATGTTTGGCATTCACAGCAGAAGTACTATAACAATATTAAAACTATGGCTTTCATGGTGTAATACTTTCAGATTAAGCTGTTAATTCTAGACTGGTCTGAATTTTTGCCATTGTTTCCCTCAGTCATTGCCAAGAACATCTGTTGTTACTGTAAAATTATGCCCTCACATTAACAAAAGAGTATCTAAATTATTGTATCAGAGCACACAATGCAGAGGCTCCTAAAGTCCCTAGCTGTTAAAGCTGGTGTGGCAAGAATAGCTTGTGTGAATCAGCTGCTTAAGAGCTGGCATCGCAGACACCGTCAGTACTCTGGTGTGCACCAGCTTATGCCCATAGTTAGAACATAGAACTCTAAGCTACACAAATAAGCCATTAGCTCATTTCATACCTTCTATTAATTTAGATTATTAGATTATACTTTTAAGAATTAAAGTATGTGCCATCATAGCTACTTTGCTTAGCCACTTTCACTTTTTTTGTTTACTTCTGCAGCTTTTCTGCAGTTAGATAAAAAGGGACCACAAAAACATCACTTTGAGCAGCCTTCTGTAATGCCCAGGAAAAACTACTCTTTCACAAGAGAAGAGGTGAGACAGATCGATCGGGAAAATCAGAGGCTTCTGAAAGAACTGTCAAGACAGGCTGAAAAACCAGGAAGCAAAAGTACAATTCCCGGAAGATCGATTGGCCATCCCCCTAAGTTATATCATAGTGCTCTCAACAGACAGAGGGAACAGCAAAGGATTGAAAGAGAAAATTTGGTAAGTAACACATCTTTTAGTCATCAGAACAATTGCATTTGTACTGACTTGTAAGTACAACGAACAGAAAATTAAGTATAGCCAACTTTTCAAGTTTATTTACATAAATGCAGGAATAGATAACATGTGCATAAACTGTGGTAATTTGCAAGTCTAGAAGTTAACCATGTCTGTCTCTTAGTGTGTACTAAGGAAAATACTGCAGGAGGTAAAAGTTGACAAGTCTCAACTTTTACAGAGTTTTACAACTCGGTCTACAGAGCAAGTTCCAGGACAGCCGGTGCTACACAGAGAACCCCTTTCTCAAAAAACAAAACAAAGAAAAAGAAAATAATAAAACTTTCCTAGTTTCCTGATTAGTTAAATCACTATACAGTTTTAGCACATGGTACCCTGGAATCAGATACACATACTCTTCTGTAATGTGTTTGCTCACTAGAGCTTTACCCCTTATCCTTCCGTGGCAGACAGAAAGCTCTTGATAGGCCATGTGACTCTAGCCGGGGAAAATGTGACAGACTTTGTCTCGTCTCTGTTTTTCCTGGCTTTTGGATACTTTTTTAAATGACCTTTCAGAGTCTTCCTCACCACTTTGAAAACAATGAGTGGTTCTCCCCTGTATCTGCTGGATTGTTAGCATTCATTCACCATTCGTATCAAAAGACAAGTGAGTTAATTTTTTTCAAGAGTACTTCCTGAGAAGTATATAAAGGAAATATTTAGACAAACATAAAGCAGAAGTACCACCTGTCACTACTTACATTAGGTCTCCAGAACTTTCTTAGCTTGCATACCTGAAACCTGGTAGACAGTGTAGTAGACTATAATTTTCACACACAAATGGTTTTGCCTTGATAGATGTAATTAAAAAAAAAAATACAACTTTCTCAAGAAAAGTTTTGGAGAAATTATTTTGAACTTCATGGAGTCTGGTTTGAATGGCCATCTTACGGTTTTATGAACCATAATTTAGATTTTAAAGAACTATTCTTATCATTTTGATTATTAAACAGTAGTAATGTCTTATTTCCTATAAAGCAGTAGAAAAATGTGAAATACTGCTGATTGTTATATAATTTATAACCTAGCCTGAAGATGATACATTCTTGTATGTCGGGCAATTAGAAAACTGTACAAAGCAATGTTAATGCTAACAAAATTCTTACAGATTTCAAGTAGTGTATGGGTACTGTTACGGGTGCTGTATGTTATTTCACTTTTATTCTGGCCCTAACATGCCTACCAAATAGTTTGACTAAGAAACAGTCAGTGCCTACACTACACTGTAAGCCCCCAGTCTCGTTGCAGGTAATTGTTAGCATGTAATTATGCATGGAGTACATAATGATTAAATTAGAATAAGTAGAATTTCGTTCTCTTTAAAGAAATTTCTTTGTAATCTAGGCCTCCAAACTCTCTTCCAGTTCTTTAAAAAAAACTTTTATAAATGATAGTCCTCCTACTGTCATATAGAACACTAAAACATACCCTCCTACTTTAGTTTATTTTAGTACCCAGTACTTCTTCCCCTTCCACTCTTTCAAGTCTTTTAGATGCTTATATCTTTTGTCACTCCGTTACAGTGTTATAACGTTCTTTTAAAGTCTCATGTGATTTGGAAAGTTGTATGTTTTCTCTCATGTCCCTAAGTTTCTGCACAAGTGGCCTATCAGAGTACAGAATGAGTTGTAGTTTTCTGAGGCTTTTTAAAACTTTATTGGAAAATTATTTTAAATTTTAATGTTCATCATTATTTTTATAGTGTTTTACCTCTGGTAGATAAGCACTGAAATTTTCTTAAGATTTAAAGAGTTCATCCAACTAGGTGAATAAATTCATGAAATCTGGAATTTTGTAAACATTACTATTTTCCCATACATGGTCTAATGAATCCCCAGCAGTCCTAGCTTCAGGTTCTTTGTACATGCTAAATTTAGAAGTTAAGAACAATTGAAGCCAGGCAGTGGTGGCGCAAGCTTTTAATTCCAGCACTAGGCAGAGGCAGGCGAATCTCTGTGAGTTTGAGGCCAGCCTGGTCTACAGAGCAAGTTCCAGGACAGGCTCCAAAACTACAGAGAAACCCTGTCTGGAAAACAAAACAAAACAAAAAACACTTGACTCTGCTGCAAAGGACTCAGGCTGAGCTATATTCCCCAACCAACATTGTTTCTGTGCTAGAAAAAAAGGAAGAAAAAAATACACACATATATATGTACACACACAATATTAGCAGATTAACTGAAAATGTCAAGATTATTAGAAATTTATCTTTTCCAGTAAAATGCTTTGAAAACATAATGCCTACGAATTTTGTTGTGCAAGAACATCATTTTAGGAGAATTTGGCAGCTATTGTACAGCTCCTCTGTCTTCAAAGAAAGATGCTGTGTTATTTTAGAAAGTGTATAGAAACTACATTCAGATGGAACAGAGCCATAGCCCAACTGAGTGCAACAAGAAAAACTGTAGCTGGTAAGGACTACACTAGGGAGTGGCTGCTTTTCTGGCTTCTGAAGGGAACAGAGGACCCATCCCACGGCTGACAGCAGTGAAGTTGTGGTTATATCTACTTCATGTGTCAGTCACACGCTTGGATTTCTAACAGTACTTTGTTCCTCTCTTCTCTGAACAATGCTTCCCATGAATATTTTGGCTTAGTTTATTATTGTTATGCCCAGATCACAGAGTCCTCCCAAAACCAACCAAGAGACCCAGTCCTGTATGTAAAATTCTTATACAAGTTTACAAACTCGGACTCTGTATGTGTCCATTGTATTGGAGTGGTCAGAGAGCCCTAGCTCAGTTGGGGTTGGGTTTTTGTAGTAGCAAAGTTGGGAGTGAGGGATTTCTAAGGTTCAGGACCCCTGATTGGCTGACATTTGTCTAGGAGTGTCCTAGTATAAAAAGCAGTGGTTGTGTGCTGGCAGGTGATCCCATCTACAGTGGTTGGAACATTAACAATTTCCTTTGGATGGCCTGTTCCTGGGTGGTGCCTAGGTGGTCTCAGTTTGTGGTCTTAATTGGAACCAGGTGTTGCCTTAGGGTAAACTACTGAGACTCAGGCCTCTGTTGAGCTTGTCATGGCTGGGTCCTACAAATACCGTTTCTGCCTTCTTCAGAATGGCTCAGAAATGTTGACAATGCTGGTTGGTGATGGAACCTCGGAATCAGAGGGCGGAAGGGGAACTGCTGCGAGCAAAGCACTAGGCTGAGGAAGTGTCTGGAAAGGGGTTACAGTGACGCTGTAAATGCTACACATTGAGTGGTGTGCTTAAGCTGGGGAGAAAATGATTGGGAAGAAAACTTGTCCTCACTCGTGAGACTGATTTTATAAATGTCTTAGTGCTTTGGACAGACTCTTAAGATAAAAATCAGTTTGCACCAGAAAGAATCGTATGTTTTAAGGAGTGAGTTGGAGACCAGCTTCCACAAAAATACCACTTACCAGGGCAGGGACATGGGGAGTAGAAAACAGTAACGAGAACGAAGACGCAAGTAAAAATAAAACAGAAACATAGGATAGTAGCAGGAGGGAATTCCAGTGAAAACTGAAATCCCCTGTGTTTAATTTTCCATACACTTTCATGCCCCAATATGATAGGGAAGAAGACAAAAGACTGCTGTACTGTGACACAAAGGACAGCTAGAACAGGTATTCGCCTCAACACTTAGAGACCTCAGGTCATTAGCATTCTGTTCTTTAGACTCTGAAGGCAGCCACTCCCAAGGTCAAACCTCCTTATGCTTGAATATCCTGTCCATTGGTCAGGGTGGAGTGGATCCAACTGTCTGGGCCACGTGTCAAAAGGACTAAGTAACCACACCCTAGGACTGGAAGCCTAGCCCTGTTGTTAACAGTTTCGAGCAGCCTCAGCTTCTCTGCCCTTCAGACAAGGTGGAAATGGGCTCACTTTTTTTGGACCTCCACACAGTTCCTAGGCATTGGTCTCATTCCATGTTCCTTTCTCAAAGACCTCTGAAAATCAAAAGCTTTTGAATTTTGAGTTAAGAAAGAATGAGTAGGGCTGGAGAGATGGTTTGTTAAGAGCACTTCCTGCACTTGCAGAGGGCCCAGGTTCCATTCCCAGCTGCCACATGGTGGCTCACAACTGCCTATAACTTCAATTCCAGGTGATCAGATGCCATCTTCAGGCCTCTTTAGGCAACAGTAAATACATGTCATATACATACATTGCAGGCATGATGGAGGAAGGTCATTGGCTAATAACGGAACTGCCTTGGCCCATTTTATTGGTTAGAAGATAGGTGGGAGGAGTAAACAGAACAGAACGCTGGGAGGAAGAGGAAGTGAGCTCAGACTCGACAGCTCTCCTCTCGGGAGCAGACTCCTCAGAGAGACGCCATGCTCCTGGCTCCTGGGCAGATGCACACTATGAAGCTCCAACCCAGGATGGACATAGGCTAGAATCTTCCCAGTAAGCGCACCTAGGGGCGCAACACAGATGATTAGAAATGGGCTAAATTAATATGTGAGAATTAGCCTAGAAGAGGCTAGATAGAAATGGGCCAAGCAGTGATTAAATGAATACAGTTTGTGTGTTGTTATTTCGGAGCATAAGCTAGCCAGGCTGCCGGGGTGCTGGGGATGCAGCTCCGCCGCCCCAATTACTACACAGGCACACTTACATACTGTAGTAAAAGGAACAGCAGGCTGTGTCCCACTGCCTGAGAGGAGCACAGGCCCTTTGTTCTGTCCCACCAGGCTAGCTTACACCCAAAATAATTAAACGGAAACTGTATTCATTTCAACACTGCCTGGCCCATTAACTCTAGCCTCTTATTGGCTAACTCTCACATCTTGATTAACCCATTTCCATTAAATCTGTGTAGCACCATGAGGCTGTGGCTTACCGGGAAAGATCCTAACCTATGTCCATCTTGGGCCGGAGATTCATGGCGTCTGCCTCATTGCCTTCTACCTAACATCCTGTTCTGTTTTCTCTGCCTAATTTTCTGCCCTATCAAAAAGCCAAGACAGTTTCTTTATTTAACCAATGAAATCAACACAAAACAGAAGACCCTCTTACGTCAACATACATGTAAAATAAATACTTAAAAAAAATAAAACTAGGAATATTTACATAGACTTGATCATAGTAAAGAATATGCCTTCTTATTGGCAACTATGCTGCTTTGGCCTATGGATTTGTATATCCTCTAAAAGGCTTTGTATTCTTTAGTAACTGGTTTTCTAACTTCTTAACACTTCTTTTCTATAGTAACCTTTACTCAGAGTCCTAAGTATGTAAAGGAAAAAGTACAGAAAACTAGGCAGTCGAAATTGAAAGTGTGGATGGGGCTTGAGGTCAGTGCTCACACAGCCTTTCTTGTGTTCTATGTGAGACATGGCTGCCGTCAACACTTCTGCTCTCTAGTGTATATAGGTAGAACTTGTCATAACTGATAATTGGTGGTGATTTCAAGGGTTTACCTTTGGACTCTTAGCATAATAACTCCTATGCCTGACATTAATACAAGGAAATCAAGTTTCCTGTATTTGCTCTTGTAGTCCCTTTCCAAAGACTGACAGGTCTGTGACGGCTGTGTGTGGGCTCCTGTGACAATGTCTGAGGTTAACAATTAGGAGAGGAAAGGATTACTGACTCACACTATAGCTTTTGGACTTAGGACAGGTAGACACATGATGGTAGAAGGGCATGGTGGAGGGAGGCTGCTTGTTTCATGACAGCCAGAAAAGAAGGCTAGGGGCAAGATAGAGCTTTCGTAGAGGGTGCTCACAGCAGCCTGCTCAGTCCTATAGGCCCAGGCTCCCATTGCTTTCTAGTAGTCCTCTCGATTGTAGTTCATCCGGGGATGAGGTCAGATGAGATGGATGAAACCAGTGCCCAGCCACTTCTCAAGAGTCCCACCAGCTAGGGACCAGGCCTCTTAGGGAAACACCTCACATTCAAACTGTAGGTGTTGTTTCATCATAGCGGGGGATCAGTGTATGTTAGGAAAAATCTCTTGGTTTTTCTGAAAATGGATTACTAATATTTAATTATTTTTTGAGATTATAATCATATCATTTACCCCTTCCCATTCTACCCTTTAAGTCCATCCATATAAAGAGAATGAGTCCTCCTCACTCAAATTTATGGCCTCTTATTTCATTACTGTGTATACATACACATACATACACACATGCACATTTCTAAATACAACCTGTATTAGCTCAGTCTGTATAATGCTACTTGTATGGATGTTCTTGGGCTGACCATTTGGTATTGGATAACCAGTTGGTGTGTTTTTCCCCTGAAGAAGACTATTTCACCCAGTCTCGGCATTCCTTAGTTGCCTGCAGTTTCTGTGTAAGGGTGAGACCTCAAGGACTTTTTTTGTCCACTCTGGTATATTTATTGTTCTTGTTGAGCTCATATTAGGGAGGCTTTATCTACGTGTGTAGTGGACATTGCTGGGAGACAGTCTCACTGCAAATGCCCTGATCTTCTGGCTCTTACAGTCTTGCCAACCCCTCTTCAGCAGTGTTCCCTGAGCTTTGTTTTGTAGATGTATCTATTAGGGCTGGGCTCCACAACTCTGCACTCTTTGTTTGTGGTTTTCTGTAAAGTCTTTTTTCTGTTGCCCTTGAAGAGGGGAGATTATACTTCTCTGTGGGTCTGTGGACAAATATTTGGGGTGGCCATATATTCTTCACCCCAGGTCAGAACATTTCTAGTATGTGTGGAGTGACTAAACACTGTTTTTCCTTAGCGAATTTCAAGTTATAGACTATCTGACCTCTTAGAAATTATTGGTATTTATGTAGTATTTGTAATAGTAAAAATAAAACAGCACTGTTCCCCAAGTGGTGACACTGGGACACTGCAGTTGGTTTAGGGCTGGGGGGCGGGGGGAGACCACGGCTGACCTTTGGCAGGGCAACCTGTCCCACAAAGACCAACGGCAGGTGAAAAACAGAGACAGATAGGCACGTCATGCAGAAAGAGCTTGGATATTTATTTAGTGGGTTATGGAAGAAAAAGGAAGGGGGAGAGGGGGAGGGAGGGGGGAGAGGAAGGGAGGGAGGACCCATGGCAGCAGCCACCTCTTCCAAAGAGAGAAGGGAAGGGAGCTCAGACTGGAAGTGGAAAGAAGATCCCCTTGCCTCAGCTGACCAGGTTGGGGGGGCAGGGTGTGTCTTTTAAAGGGACAGGACAGATAATTACAGTATTAACTTTCATATTTTTATGAAGGCTTTATTGAAACGGCTTGAAGCTGTGAAACCAACAGTTGGCATGAAGCGCTCTGAACAGCTGATGGACTATCATCGAAATATGGGTTATCTCAACCCTTCACCATCCATTAGACGAGTGAGATCCACTCTTGGCCATTATAGCCCACTGAGTAAGATTATCAAAGATAGTTTCTATTTATTTTTTGAGTCTTTTAGTTTTTCTAAAATAAAAAGTGTGATTTGTGTTCTTATGATAGAGATTTAAAATGCATTTTAGTTTTCACAGGCATGTTCTTATAGTTCATTCAATTTCAGGCTTCATGTACAGAATGTAATGGTAGCATAAGAAGAAAGCCAAAAGATAAAATGAGTGAAAATAGCAGTGTTTTCTCAGACACTGGAAAAGTCTTTTAATTCAGTTTGTGGTTTTTTTTTTTTTTTTTTTTTTTTTTTTTGGTTTTTTGAGACAGGGTTTCTCTGTGGCTTTGGAGCCTGTCCTGGAACTAGCTCTTTTAGACCAGGCTGGTCTCGAACTCACAGAGATCCGCCTGCCTCTGCCTCCCGAGTGCTGGGATGAAAGGCATGCGCCACCACCGCCCGGCTCAGTTTGTGATTTTAAAGAATAAATTGATAGGCTAATTGAATGTGGTTGAAACATTCTCTCAGTTACTAATACCTTGTAACCCTTACATATATCTTTCATGTCCTTACTAGATCGCTAAAACAAAATCAACAAACTACAGCTGCAATTCTTTTCAGTGCTTGATAGGTGATCAGTTACAGGCTGAGCCAGCTGTGTACCCTAGAGCTGTACAGAAAGTCAGACCGTTCCTTTACCAAAGTAGATGCTGTTGCATCATGTATATATTCTAAACTGTATTTCTCTTAAAATTTTAAGCTATTTTTAAAGAAAATTGGACCCCAGTAGTGCTGAGAGTTCCCAGTGCTTATATGACTAGTCATTGACTGATCATCTCATTCATTTTAAAACATGGTTTATTATAGTTAACTTAAGATACGGCCTTATTCTAGGAACTGATAGTTAGTATTGTGCCTTGAACATAAAAACCGTCAGTAAACATATCAATGATTATGCAAAGTGTTTGCTTTCACTTGGATCACTTTAGTAGCTTTTAAGCTCCACTGCGAATTCTAGAGTACAGTTCTAATGAAAGTCATTCATTAGAGAATTAGACACATCTGGAGGAAGAAGGACACCAGTCTGGACCTAAAATTAGGTTTATCAGCTGATGTACTTGCCTCAGATAACTGAGACTGTTTTATCTTTGTGTATGTTCAGGAGGAGCTTCCAGGACATCCAGTGCGACCAGTGGCTTCAGTTGTAAGACCGATCGATCAATGTTGGAGGCAACCAGTGGCTTTTTGCTAAGACCGAAACCCCCGAATGTTCGTACTGCTTGGTTGTAAAACCTTTTTTTACATTGTTCATCTTATTTTAACAATGTATTTTTATGTATTACTGTAACTCTTTGTAAACATCTGTAATACTTTTTTCAACAATTTATACAATAATGAGTATAATTTATTGTTATTCAGCACAAAATTGTTACCAAAACACACTTTGATGTAAAAATCAGTGTTTCGTATGGTGGCGTGTGTATAGGAACTCTGTGTGTTTAACAGAGAGCGGTGTTGTGCATGGCTCTTTGCGTGGAAATTCACTAGTGATGCTGACAAACGCTGATGATCCCTGTGGAGCCAGGACACTCACTCTGCTTACTCTGTTGTTCTCAGTTATTGTAAGCATGACTGTATGCGTCTCATGCCTCTGTGTCTTCAGAGTGCCTGCCACCTGAGCCATCACTTGGTTATGTGATTGTTACACTCCTTATGAAAAACGTCTTGAAATTTGTTTTCATGGACGAGCTGATTTCTATTTGATGAGGAGGGTGAGCAGCTTGTACTGGTGCAGTTCTTGATTCAACAAAGGTTCCTCTGTTAAAGTTTGTTGGCCACTCCACACCATTTCACACTGGATAACTGTTTTTATGCAGTCAGGTAAAGTACTCACGGATTCTGAGGAAAGAGGTGGCTTTAACAGCCTACTGTAATCCTGTGGCTGGTTTGTAGCCAGATCATTTGCATCATAAACAAAAGCAAATATTTGTTGGGTCAGTGAGCAATATTCCCAGCTTGAAGAACCAAGAAGCAGCCCCAGGGTATGTTAGCGAGTGTCTGAAATGATACTGTTAGTGTGTACTTGCTGTATTAATAGAAGGTTAGAGCCCGGAAGAAACGCTTTAGAAAGACCAGTTATAAACAAGAAAAACTAATCACACATTTCTTACAGCTACTGCCTTAAACATTTGTGAATTTTCTTGGTTTATTTTGGCTAAATCCGAGAAGCACCATTTTTACTAGTCTGATATCTGAAGGCCTATTTATCCTGCTGGGCTCGTGACACATGACACATAGATGCAATAAATATAGTTGACTATGAAGACTGAAATATGTTTGTGTCAGCCTGTAGACTGTTACTTTATGAACAAATTGATATTTCATAGTCATAACTTTTTCATTGCTGGTCTTGTTAGTGTACCTTTAGGACGTATAAATAAATTTCATAGTCAGTGACACGTTTTTCTTGAAATAGGAATTATCTCCAGCCACAGTGAGCTCTGTCAAGTTTCAGTGCTCCTGCAGTGTGGCATCTCTGCCACACCTGCATCTCCCTAGTTAGCACCAAGGCCGCCTGCACTTTACCAATGCCAGGTCATACGATGTTGGTCTTAGTTTAATAGGTTGTGTTTTAGATAGAGCAGCAAAGGTTGGGAATGATGAGGCTCAAAAGATTGCTGAGCACATACACCACACACACATATGGTAAATGTGCATACACCACACACACACATACACAAACACACACATATGGTAGATGTGCAACACCACACACATACACAAATACACATACATATGGTAAATATGCATACGTCACACAATACACAAACACACCCATACATACGGTAGAAGTGCATACACCACGCACATACACAAACACAGCACGCACACACCACACACACAGTGGATGGAACACAGCATGACTGAAGGTTTCTCTGCTGCTTCCTGGGGACTGTAACATTATTTGAGATCTGTCTCTTTGTTCTAGTAAACAAGATTTTATAGCTGCTTTATATAACCTTCAGCTATATAAACAAAGGTTTTATTTTTGTCTGAATTTTTTAACTTTTAAAGTTTGTGTGACAACAAAATGCAGCATTTTGGCATTTGCCCAATAGTGAGTCAGTCACTTTTTACAATGTAAGTTTGAGGGGAAAAGTGTGTATATATAAAACATTTTATGTTCCCAGTGGCATAGCCTGTGAGTACATTTTATTTGATCTCTCCAAGTTCCATAGATAAAGCTGTACTTTGATTTTAAATGCTAATTTATGCCTTAGTTTTTACTATTTGAAATAAGTTTGTCTAAGTATTACTGATAACAGGGATTCAAGAAAAGGGCAACCATCTTTTAAAAACAACTCACAGTGTTGTAAATGCTACGTGATGGTGATAGGTGGATGGGTAGGGACTCCAGACAGAATTCTCTGATGTGAGCTAAGGTGAGGAGGCATTTGTAGCGGAGGTGTCGTGAGTGCAGGAGTGTCTCCAACTTCCCCAGCACAGTAAACACTGTGGAGCGCTGTGGGCAGGGGCCGGCTTATTCTTACTGAAGCTCCGCACCTGCAGCTGCAAAGCGTGCTGGTCCGTGGCCAGAGCTCACTGAGAACTGTTCTCATCTCCGTCAGATGTTATTACCTCCTTTTCTAGTAAGATTTGGTCAAAGATTTCAAACTATTAAAATTATTTCTTAAGGAGTAGCTACTACCTCTTTCTCCCCCAGTTCTTTCGGTCTCCATTAAGAACTGCTCTTGACAGTTATCCCACTAAACTTTGTGGTCTGCCTGTAAAATAAAGCCATGCAGCCGTGTCCCACCCAAGCCTCAAAACGGATTGCACAGCTTCGAAAGGCGACTGTCTAGGTCTGCTTCTCACCTCCAGATGGATGCAGCAGCTCTAGAGTATTAAGGCTGATGTAGAGCTGAAGATGAAACTTTATCTTAGTTAGCAATCAAACACTGTGTCATCTTAATGTAAGTGACTGTATACCGTCATAGAATGTGCTCACTGCTAATGGCTGAATTGCTTATGTTCATGAATAAAGATTAGCAAACTTTTAAACCATCTTTCTTTAAAGTGTTCTAGTTTGTCATTTTGGGGCATGAAGAAACTAGCTTGTCCTAGTGAAGAAAGAAATTAAAGATTAAAGAGAACCAGGTCTTGATTGTTCATATTCTTCAGAATTAGAATAAAAATTTTTGTGTACCTTACAGAACTACTAGTTAGAATGAAGTTGCCAGTTGGATGGTATTTTTAGTTAGTGTTTTTGAAAATGTGGTATTTTGGAGGAATATTTCTTCAAAATTATGCTCCTGGTCAGCATTTTCTCAGACCACATGATTTGGTTCATTCTGTAAAATTGCTATGATGTTTCAGTATAATGGACATTCTTTTAGAGCTTGAATGATGTTGCTATTGTTGAGTTGCTTTATTTTTATTTATTTATTTATTTTTTTTGTTTTTGTTTTCAAGACAAGGTTTCTCAGTGTATATAGCCTTGACTGTCCTGGAACCCGCTCTGTAGACCAGCCTGGCTTCGAACTCAGAGATCCACCTGCCTCTGCCTCCCGAGTACTGGGATTAAAGGTGTGCACCACCACCACCCGGCTTTTTTACTTTGTTTTTAAAGCAGGTTTACAGATGTCCTTGAGCTCAGGGTGGTTGAGTACCTTCCCAGCACATAAGCCCAGCAGGCGGGAAGCTCAGAAGTTCCAAGTCATCCTCCACTACAAGCGGGTTCCAGGCCAGTCTGTGCTGTGTGATGATGGATCATGTCTCAAACCAACCGGAGACACAGGAAGAAATCGCTAGTGGCTCCCACAGGTGCATAAACTCTTCTCTGCTCAGATGAAGGATACAGAGCACAAATGGGCTTGTATTATGGCAGGTAATTTTTATTTCTAAAGATAGAAATGGTTTTTACGTTGTCCCCTAGAGGCAGAAGGTAAATCCCTATTGCTGGAAACACCTGCACATCAGATCATTTGTGACCACACACTGTGCACGCCAGGCCCAGAGACCCCTGAGTTGGAACTGAGCTGAGAGCCTCCTCCCTGAGCACTAGCTTTCAGGGTACCAGAAGACACCATTCACGTTTCCAAAGGAAGTAAGCAACCAAGAGTCTTACTCTGACACTGATAGACCACAATGACCAGGATGGCACGATAACCCTAAGGGTGCAGTCATGTTGTGCCTGCCTTAGCAATAACCATCAGTTTCTTAGTGGACCCACTCAGCAAGAGGGAACCTAGCTGACACTCAGTGTAGTGACATCATGGTTTTCAGAGAGCCAACAAGCCATCACTTTACTAAGCCAGCGTAATTTCTAAAATAAATATTACATCCTAAACATTTGCCCCCCCCCCAAAAAAAAGAAAAAAGAAAAAATCAATGGCCATATGAAATAGAAAGTCTTTAGAAATTCTTCATTCCCACAGGTGTTTTTACTTTTGCATGGTGTTTTGCCCGCTGGCACATGTATAGAGGTCAGAGGACAACTTTCCTCTACCTGATGTGGGTTCTGGGAGCTGAACATTGTCACACATACCTGGCAAGTGACTTTATCCATCGAGCCAGCAAAGCTGGCTCCCGGAGCTGTCTTTCGGAACTACTTCCAGGATACAATGTATCTCTCAGCCTCTAGCCTTTTGTCAGGCTGGGTCGGAAGCTGCCACCTCCTGCTGCCGCTACATGCTACTAACTAGCATGTTCATCATGAGAGCTCCAGAAACACCTGGAAAGCAGTCGGAGAGGCTGACTTCCTGCTTGTTTGTATTCAGGGCCGAGCACAGGGAGTATAGAAAGATGGGCAAAGGTTGGCAGCCCTCGTCTCCGCTTGCCTCCCTCTCTACCTTTGCCAGTCCATCTTCAGGTATGCACTGGTTTTCCTTACCTGAGGTGGGGAAATGTTTGCTGATGCAGAGGAAGGGTGCTGCTGACTGGTTTGTTCCTCATGACTGGCTCAGTCTGGTTCCTGAAAGAACTCGGGACTATCAGCCCAGTGATGGCATCACCCACAATGGGCTGGGCCCTCCCCCATTAATCCCTAAGAACAAGAAATGCCCTACAGAAGTGGTTCTCAACCTGTGGGTCTTGACCCCCACAGGGGTTGCATATTTAATTACAGTTCATAACAGTAGCAAAATTATGGTTATGAAGTAGCAACAAAATAATGTTCTGGTTGGGGCCACCACATGAAGTCACAGCAATAAGAAGGTTGAGAACCACCTCTTACAAGATTGCCTACAGAGGGTCTTTTGGAGTCTTTTTCTCTGAAGAGCTTCTCTGAAGCTCCCTCCTCTCTGATGACTAGCTTGTGTTAAAATGACATAATGCTAGCAAGTACAGATGCCAAAGCCTTTCTCTCCTTTGCATTATTTTTGACCTGCTGTATGTGGCATCGCTTTTTATTTATCTATTTATAGCCGTGGCTGTCCTGGAACTCACTCTTGTAGGGCGGGCTGGTCTCAAAATCACAAAAATCTGCCTGTCTCTGCCTCCCGCGTGCTGGGATTAAAGGTGTGTGCCACCACCGCCTAGTATGGAACTTTACTTTGATGACACATTAATTACTTCAGTTCATTCTCTTGCTTTTGCATCTGATAACTTATGTTGGCATCTGTCTGTTGTGAAGATTGCTATTCATGTGTGTTTGCCTAGTATAGGTATGTGTACCACATGCATTCAGGGATACCTAGGGATCCCCTGCAAGCTATGTGTGCTTGAAACCGAATAGGGTCCTGGAAGAGTAGCAAGTGCTCTTAACCATTGAGTCATCTTTCCAGGGCCAGTATCTGTGTTTTGAATCTGTAATGGAGATTCTTGAGACTGTGGGCCATCTCTGTGGCTTTAATTTTTTTTTTTAATTTTGGGGCATGACAAGTACATATAATCAAGTCCAAGGACAAAGTCTAAGAGTCCCTTTTCTCCTACCATGTGAGTCCCAGGGATTACACTTAGGTCTTCAGGTTTGGCAGCAAGCATCTCCCTCTAGAATTAAGATCCCATACTTTGTCTCCCAAGAACTATGTCTACAGTTACAGCTTTGGCAGAGATTCTCAGAGGTGGGATTTTTAAGAGTCTGGCATGGAATTCTAGCTTTTCACTTTAGTGTGATCCCCTTTTCCAGACCTTCAGACTTTGAGAGTTTGTACAGTGACGTCACTTGCTTCCTTCTAGGAATTTTTATTGAGTGAAGTAGCTGTAGTAGGGCCAGCTCAGCAGGACTCTGGGGCAAAGAGCGCTGGATTTAACCTCAGCAGGCAGGAGAGAGCCCGAAAGCCAGCACTTGGGCCATGTGCATACTGCAGATGATGCGGCTAATGTGCAGTTTAACAGGCAGCCAGTTTCTCCACTCTGCTCCTTGCATGCAAGTGGGGGAGGGGGATGGAAACAATTTGGCTCTTGGTTGGGCTGTAATGACCTCCTCTTTGTTCACCCGCAGCCAGTTCCCAATTACGTTCGTGGCCTGTCAGTCTAAACCCTTAGGTTTAGGAAAGCCCTAGTTTTAGATATGCAATAAAGGTAGTTTTTCCTATTAGCTTGTGTTGCTTTTATCTGCCAGAAACATCATTGCGTCATTAATATTCTAGAATGCAAAGTAATGTACCTGGAAGGCCCCTAGCAGCACTGTTTGCTCCTTGTCCTTGGGAGACAGGATTGAGATCTTTTTAGATTTTTCCATCTATCTAAACTGAAATTAGAAGTAACTCTGGATATGGAACACACACACACACACACACACACACACACACACACACCTTGGTTGCTCTGGCAAAAGCAAGGCAGCCAGTGTTGCACCCAGAGGCCTGGGTAGCACAAGCCCAAGCTCTTCATCAGGAAACACAAAGCAGACATTTGCCTTCTTTCCAAACTTTGCGCCCAATCTGGACATTTCCTGCAGACAGGACACAAACTGGAAACTTACTAACTGCTCTTTTCCTGGTCCAGATGCACTCATTTCCCCACTTGAAATTTCAAACAATTTTATGTATGTGTGTTTAGCCAGCACGCCTGCTTGTGCAACACTTGTATATGCCTAGGACCTGGGGAAACCAGAGAGCATGCGCGATCCCTTGGAACTGGGGATTCGGACAGTTATCTCCATGTGGGTGCTGGGAACCAAACCCAGACTTTTAACCTTTTAACCTTGAGCCATATCTCTACTGTTGTCCCCCACCCTTGAAATGCTTGTCTCTTGCTCACAAATCCCTGAGAGTCAAGCCCTTCAAATAGGCCTTTCTCCTCATTCTTAAGCTGTACAGAAAGGAAGTACAAGCAGATACTTTGTATACAAAACCTAGTTACTTTCTTTCAAGGTCCGTGCCTATCATCGCCCTCTCCTGCTCCTCCCAGCCAATATTTACGGCGTCAACTTACATAACAAGACTAGTTCATCTTCTCCCCCACTTAGGCTTCAGGGCAGGTTCACTTTCAGAGCCTCCCAGGCATTAAATACGAGCTTGAAAACTGATACCAAAATCTGAATGGTGGATGTGCCCTACTCCCTGGAATTCAACCCCTCACCCTCAAGATGACAGTATTAGGAGACAGTCCTTTAGGAAGAAATCAGATCACAGTATGGTGCCTTTGTCACTGTGATCAATAACTTTCAAAGGGGGCTCCAGAGAGCTCTCTCACCCTCTTCCCACCAAGAAGATTCTGAAGTCAGGTGGCTCTCACCAGAGTTGATCCTCATGGACTCTGACGTTTCAGACCCAAGGTGAGAAGTAGGTTTGTTGTTTTATGAAGCAGACAGTGTGTGGCACTTTGCCATTCCAGCCCAAACTAAGACAACTGTTTTCTTCAGTGAAGACTGTCCACTTGTTGGAAATTTCTAGGTAAAAGGATTCTGTACAGGAACTAAAAAAACAGGACTTCCTCAGCATGCAAAATTCTTACCTCTCTGAAAAGCTTAGCAGAGGCTCACCGTTCCTAAGATAGTGCAAGTATACAGTGGGCCATGGAAGCTGTTCATGTTGCCACTTTCAGAGCCTTCAGCAACACTGTAGCAAGATAGTACGTGGCCTGCTTATGTTTGAAGAACAGCTATTTCAATAGGGCAT